CACACGTTAAAGAAGAACCTAGAACCAGAACTAAACATGGAGAAGCAGCATTTAGTTCCTACGCTCCTTATCTGGAACAAACTTCCAGAAAACTGCAGAAAGCCTGAGTTCCTTTAAATCAAGACTAAAAACACATTTGTTTAGGATTGCCTTCGACTGTTCTAGTTAAACAGTTCAACTAAAACATATTTTCTTTAGTCCAACTGTATTTGATATTCTTTTTTGTTTCTGCATTTTTTTATTTTTTTATTTATTTTTTCCTACTTGCTTCGATTCCTTTTTATCTTCCTGTATTTTAATATTGTGAAGCACTTTGCATTGTCTTTGTACTGAATTGTGCTATACAAATAAATTTGCCTTGCCTTGCCTTGCCTTGCCTTGCCTGTGTCTTCAGCAGGTGTAGAGCTAACAGAACTGGCAGCGTTGCAAGGCAAGGGCTCAAACATGTACGGCTGTAAGCCTCCTACACCAAACCAAGCTTCTGCCGCCCTGGCGTCCTCTTCCACAACATCTTCGTCCCCGCTTTCCTCCTCTAAATAAAAAATGGATGACGGAGGAGACTCATCCACGACCTCTGACACTAAACTCTCCTCCTCTTGCATGTTTTCGCTGTCCATAGCGTTCCTTGACAGTGTCGTTTCTAAGTCACTAATTTAGTACTACTTGGTCCCAATGTTATTTCCCATTGGGAACCTGCTAGCACTGAGTTGCTAACTGGTTGACAAGATGCTTCAGAGAAACTGACCACAATCAAATTTGCTTGCGAACCTTCCGCCACAACAATCTCGCCCCTCTTGATAAACGACCAATCACATTCACTTTATTCACTCGTGTAAAGTCGTGCACCACTCGGAAGAATTCAGAAATGCAACGGAAATGCAACTCCACCTTTTGCTGCAATTATAGCTGCAAGTTGCTTTCGGTTTGTGTCTATCAGTTTCTAGAGCCTGACATTTTTGGTCATTCTTCCTGCAAAACAGCCTGAGTTCAGTGAGGATGGATGGAGAGTGTTTGTGAACATCAGTTTTCAGTTCTTTCCACAGATTCTCGATTGGATTTAGTTCTGGACTTTGAATNTTCCCATTGGGAACCTGCTAGCACTAAGTTGCTAACTGGTTAGCAAGGTGCTTCAGAGAAACTGACCACAATCAAATTTGCTTGCGAACCATCCTTCACAACAATCCCGCCCTCTTGATAAACGACCAATCACATTCACTTTATTCACTCGTGTAAAGTCGTGCACTACTCGGAAGAATTCGGAAATGCAACGGTTGTAGCTCAACCTTTTGCTGCAATTACAGCTGCAAGTTGCTTTCGGTTTGTCTCTACCAGTTTCTAGAGCCTGACATTTTTGGCCATTCTTCCTGCAAAACAGACTGAGTTCAGTGAGGATGGATGGAGAGTGTTTGTGAACATCAGTTTTCAGTTCTTTCCACAGATTCTCGATTGGATTTAGTTCTGGACTTTGAATTGGCCATTCCAACACCTGAATATGTTTATTTGTAAACCATTCTATTGTAGATTTTGCTTTATGTTTTATATCATTGTCTTGTTGGAAGATAAATCTCCGTCCCAGTCTCAGGTCTTTTGCAGACTCCAACAGGTTTTCTTCCAGAATGGCCCTGTGTTTGGCTCCATCCATCTTCCCATCAATGTTAACCATCTCTGCTGTCCCTGCTGAAGAAAAGCAGGCCCAAACTATAATGCAGCCACCATCATGTTTGACAGTGGGGATGGTGTATTCGGGGTGATGAGCTGTTTCGCTTTACGCCAAACATAACATTTTGCATTGTTGCCAAAAAATTTGACAAGGGAGTATACAACCCATCAGAACCCCCTACAACCCCAAGGTGACGTCCATGGCCAATCCAGTAGGCTCGATCAAACCTACTTCTTGTTTTCCCCTGATTCCTTGTTACACCTACAATCTCAGTGCTCCCCACTACTAGTTAGAACTGAGGCAGTCCCTTGGATGAGTGGCGAAACGTCTTCTAGAAAACTTTATGTCCATTTGTCTAAACAGAATTTTTTAAGCTTAAAAGGAGCGAATACTTTGGCAAGGCACTGTATCTGCACTTTTGAACATAAATTTAGGTATTTTGCGAGGCTCCATACTTGGCCCCTTGTTGTTTAGACTTTTTTATAAGTAACTTATCTTTGCACTGCTCAGGTGTCAGTTTTCAGCTCTATGCAGATGATGCAGTTATCTATGAAACTGCTAAGACAGCTGAGCAAGCTGTATCTGTACTGTCTACCAATATGTCTGACATCCAGCAGTGGCTCATCCAAAATCAGTTCATCTTAAAACCTTAAAAAACGGTCTCTGTGATTAATCTTAAAAAATCTAGAATCAGAACGAAGATTTAAGATTGAACTACGAAAGGAAAAAAAATCCTTCAGTTACATAATGTTAATATAATGATTTAGTTCTGGATCGTCAAGTTACATTTAACAAGCATATAAAGAAAAAATACAAAGTTTGTGTTCTCTCATATATCATACAGTGTGACAATATTGGCCAAAGCTGCTCCAACGGCAACTGACTGCAATGTGTCATTATAAACTGGAGCAATGAAAATTAAGGATACACATTCAATATGGATTCACCACTATGCCATACTTTAAAAATATACACATGAGTATACAATGAGTTTTTCTGGTTTTAATAATATTTGTTTCTTTAAATTGATTCACAAATGCACTAATCTATCAGAACCTGAACACCTTAGTACATTTGTTAAGAGACGAAGCAGGATTTGTGTTTTCTAGGTGCTACTAAAACTCATGACTTTACAATACGATACTGCAGGACCAGCTTGGGAGAGACGGCCTTCGCTGTTAAATGCTCTAAGCTCTGGAACTCATTACCATCTGACATCGAGACTGTAGCTGATTTTAAAATGTTCACAACCAGCCTAAAAAAGACTAATCAAAATTTTAATTACTTTGAATTATTTTAAGTAGGTGAGAGTTGTATATGTGATGCATGTTCTATATTTATGATCATGTCTTTATTTTTTTAACTTGAAGTAGTGTATTGAAATTCTACTTTGTATAAAAACCCAACAAAGGACAGTTGAAAATTAGATTTAACTATAAACTTTATGTGCAGCCATTTGCTTTGTTTTGACACAATGTTTGTTTGCATTGTCTCTGTCAAATAAAGATGAAATGATCCACAATCATCTTAGTAAAATGTCTATTTTAATCATTGTGTATAATGAATTCTGCCTTTGTGCTCTTTCATCAGGGGGCTGCAGAAACGTTCTGATTTTCTGTTCATCTTTGAAGTACACACGATTTGAAGATCCAAGTATTAAATTCAGGATGGGAACTAATCCAGAAAGGACAGTGACAGTCCAGATGGTGCCTCAGCTGGCTGTGGTGGACCCACTGGCCAATAAGGAAACCAATGCCAACTCGGGTAATGAGCCACACCTCAAAGTGTCTCACAGCCTTCCAACATCTCCCAATCAGCAGGATAACCTGACTATTTCAGGAGAAGCTGCCAACACTGCCCAACGTATCCACAAATCCTCAGCAAAGGGAGGTGAATCAGTTAGCGTTGCAGTGGCAAACATGCCAGCAGAAGGCAGCGGGAAGCAGACGCACTCTGGACCTCAGGCAGCTGGTGAACAGTGCTCAGCTAACCTGTCACTGACAAACCAAGATGAAAGTAAGATAAAAAATGAGACCCAGGATGCTAACACTAACAGAAATACATCTCATGGAGCCGATGCATGTGCACCAGGTTTATCGACTGCAGCCAAAGTTTCAAAGGTTGACGGGAGCAGCAACGACTGCAGTATGATCAGGATGAGTTCACTAGAGGCAGTTCCTGTGCAGCTGGCATGTTCACCGAAAGCACAAGAGAGCAGTAATAAAAATAAACATTGCAACACCAGTGAATTAGAAAATGCAGCATCTACATCTAAACAGGATATTAAGGTTCCTCAAAACAAATCTAATGTTGTAATTAAGAAAACCCAGGAGCAAGATAATTCACAAATGTGCCCATCAAGCACTGTATGTACAAAACCTAAAGAGAAGAAGGAAAACGTAGCCCTCATCACCTCTACTAAACCTCCACCAACAAGTTCAGCAGCAGAAATCACTACTGCAGTTAAAAATGCATCGTCACATTCAGAGAGGGATTTCCCCGCAGTAACAACAACACAGCTGTCCTCCAATAAACTTCACCCTGCATCTTCACAGAAAAATTCATCCAGTGTGGTTCAGGAGGAAAACAATAAGCCTACATGTGGGCAGGTGTCTGAGGACCGCCGCCAGATTGAAACAGCTCTCTTTGCTGGAAAGCAGAATGGAGCACTCTACAGGGATGCCTCCACCATGACCTCATTGGTGCCGCCAGACAAACAGTGTCATGATATGGAGGTCCAGGCTGTAGCAAACACTTCGAGTAAAGCTGTGGGTACAAGTCCCAGTCTGATGCCTTTCGCTTCCACTCGCAGACTGAGCAGTGGCAGTGGGGTCTCAAGGGACGAGGAGCAATGTCTCACTGTGGCATTCCCTGTCCATGAAGGTGTGGCTCCGTGTCAGAGCTACACACCTTCCCTTTCTCCCATTGAGAGACTCACTGTAGAGGCAGAGATGTGTCCCAAACAAACTGCAGGTTTTTGCTCACCAACTGTGCCCCAACAGCTTGACTCCAGGTTAGGAGCCAAGCCAAAGGAACCTGGATCCTCTCTGAGTAGCATTCAGCCAGTTTATCAAATTAGCATTGAACATGGCAACCACAAGAAGGAAACAGTTGAAATATCTTCCACCGGTGCAGCTGGCTCTCTGAAAGCTTCCCCGGAGACAGCCAGTGCTTCTGTTGACAGAGACAATGCTGCGCTCTCTCAGGGTCTGCAAGCAGCCACAACAAAAACAAATACAGCAACAAAGTCAGCCGAACAAGAGGTAAAGCCAAGCAGGAACGAGGAGGAAGATGATCAGACGGGATCGCAGAAGGACAAGAACGTCCATGAGGTTGTCTGGGATGAACAAGGGATGACGTGGGAGGTCTATGGTGCATCGGTAGACCCAGAATCGCTGGGATTCGCCATTCAGAGCCACCTGCAATGTAAGATCAGGGAGCAGGAGAGGAAGCTGATTGCCCAGACCTCCTTCAGAAAGTCCATCTCTGGCGTAGATTCCCCGCAGCGTGGGAAAAAGAAAAAAAGGAGGGAACAGAACATTTTCAGGTCAATGCTGCAAAATGTCAGAAGGCCCAACTGCTGTGCGCGGCCCCCTCCCTCCTCCGTCCTTGACTAGCCCTGCACCAAGGTGGCCAGCATGAGGTGCCGCTCTTTCCCTGGAGGTCACACTGTCTGTCCTCCCTCTGTCAGGACTGTGATGCCAAGTGAAACATTAATGGGACGTCGGGGTCCTTCTATGTGAGTATACTGGAATGTTGTAGCAGAAAAAAAGTCCTCATATTTGTGACGTTTGTAAACAAACATTGTAGGATATAGAAGCATAAAATAAAGATATTTTCTAGAAATAGAATCTAATAAAAAGAGACAAAACACTTTTTAAAAAAAACTATAGTTAGAGGCATGTATCTTTGCTTCAAATGCTTTATGATGACATGAATTACACAATAATATGGAATCTTCTACTGTCAGACATGGTTTGTGCAAATATACTGAGTTGAAATCTCATTTGTTGGATGTTTATATGGAGTCTGGGAGATTTTTGTGTCATGCATTTGTGTGTTTTTCACCTGTGCCGTGGCAAAAAAGGGGAAGCACTGTATACACACATAAATATTATGTTGAATCTCTGTTATTCCTTGGATTTTTATTAAAAGTATTTAAAACTACGATGGCTTTCACAAATTCTTGCTCTCCAGCGTAAAACTCCAGGGTCCTACAGAATCAGTGGTGTTGTGACTAAATGTTGTTTTCATTTAGAAAAGAGTTGATCAAGCTATGAAAAATTTTGACTAAAACAACATCTACACCCATATCGGTTTCTGCTCCTTATTTTAAACAGAACCAAACATGATCAACTCTTAATTAGCTCCATCAATGGGCAGCAAACAAACAAAGGCCAAATCCTTTTGGATCAATTATCTTTCCAGATGTTGATGTCATCAGTTTTCAGTCAGAGATGAGGCTAGAAGTATTTCATACTTAAATCTTACTGTCAGGGACCAAGCAGTCAGGCAAAGGTGTAGGAAAAATATCATCCATTTATTTTTTAGTCATGCTACTATTTACCAAAAGATACAAAGTTCAGAAAAAAATGGGCCTAAAAGAAGAAATCAACTCAGACAAATCGGACCAAAGATAACCTCTCACGATGAACACTATATGTGTACTTGTGCGTTCTCATGTGATCGTGAAACATCATCAGCCTCAGCCCTAGTGCTGTTCCAATTCACAAGAACAGCAGCCCGAGAACGGACAAAGTCCCCTGATGTTGTTCTCGCCCCCTCCTATCCAATCACTATCCAATCCGTCCATTCTGCGCACGAGCATCCAGATATACATCCGGGTCGCCCTCGATTTTATTAAAAATACCTAAATGAGGTTTTTCCCTCCCCCAAAATAGTTAGCGTACCGGTACTAAAATATAATAGGGTAATAATGTATTTCCTGAGAAAACAAATGCCTTAAAATCCTTTCTGTTTTATCACTCATCTCTGCCCGATCTGCACCGGAAATGGGATCCTACGCTACTTCCGGTGGCTAACTTTTTCGGCTTTTGATTTAAACATAAAGCTAGTCTTTTTGAGTTTTATGTTTTTGTTTTGTTTTAACTTTGGCGTATATAGTGCGTCATCTAAAGGAAGAAACAACTAACAAGCAGATAAACATGGTTTAATCATATTTTGCTAGACTACTCTGAGCATGTATGATGATGACGTGAGAGAGGCAGTTTAAAGAAGAAAATGTAAAAAGCATCAAAATTGTCTCATAAAAGTCATAAAAAATGAGAGTATTAGCACTCTTTAGTAAGTCAAGGATAGAAATAAGTAATTCTAGAACCATAATTGCATTATTTATGGACACTCGGATGTATATCTGTTGGCGCATTCGCAGGACGGATCAGGTAATGACATGCATCAGGTCAGACTTATCCGTTCTCAAGATTGACAGCTGTCCCAGCATGCAACACGGCAGCACCAGCTTTCAATAGAGCGCTCACAGAGCTCAGTTAAAAGTTCTCTTTTCTGTTGCTGTTGTTCAATAAAAGTACATTTTAAGATTATTTGAGGTGAGAACATTACACTGTTACGGGTCGCTTTATGGCCTATTTACCGATTTAATGCATAATTTTAAAAAGAATTTCGAAGTTGAGAGTACTGCAGCAACCAGCGGACCTCTGAGGGTAACGGCAGCTAGGTCTAATCCTAGCCGTCTAATCCTGCAGCAGCCCTCTCGCGGCATAGCCGTATGTGAAGTACCGCTGGCTCTGATGATGAGTTTTTTGTTTTATTTGGCAAAATGTAAATTTGATTTGTGTTTATGCAACTGTGTTAATCATTATTTCCTCACTAAATTAAAAAAGTAAGACTATATTATTATCTAGTGACTATTAATAATAGGAGGTGAAATGCAGGTCTAAAAAGAGCTGAGCATGTGGTGACATCATAAGTACTCTTCTGTTCCAATTGACCCAGATTTATGCTGCGTGCTTCCATTCTCCTCAAGTCAACACTTTCCTGTGTTCTTCTCTAAAATATACTTGCCTTGGACAAGAGTCCGTACTCGTCTTCTTGTGAATTGAGAAACGGCCTGAGGGTATTAGCTATTGGTATGGGGGCCAAAAAATTGCATAGGCGCAACACTAATCATTACTGTTATATTTGATGGTGAATTGTATTTCATTTTGGATCCAATGATCCCTCAAAGTAGAATTACTCCAACGCCATAGTAAAAGGAAGCAGATGTTGCTTAGCAACAGTGTTTGGGTGGAGTCCTCTTCTTCTTTGGATTTGCTCTAAACCATGTTGATGCTCCACGCTCTAGGGTGTCAGAGATTTACCGATCTGTTGATCTCAGAGAGCAGTTCAATATTGTTTCCATCCATGGCTGGGCCCAACGTTTCAAACAGCCAAGCATGCTTTTATTCAAGAACAGTTTGCCTAATGAGATTTCAAAGCTTTGGCAGCCTTTTCCTCTTTTTCAATGTCAAAAAAAAAAAATTTCTGTTTGTTAGAGACCAACACTTATACAAGAGGTTCCAAAAAAGTAAAAAAAAAAAAAACAATTCACTGGACTTTGTTTCCAAGTTTGAAGATGATTCACTTCACTTTTTTTTTTTTTAATAGAGAGTTTCTTGGATAGGAAGCAAACCATCTTCAAACTTGGAAACAATGTCCAGTGGTTTGTTTTTGTTTTTTTTTACTTTTTTGCAATGACTGACCTAGATGACTGAGAATCTTCACCAGCATAAATCAGGATCTGATCTTTGGCCTTTCAATTACACTTTTATTTATGCTACTACTTTAGCATCCTGTGATGTATCTTATATTGCCATAGTTTGCAAGGTTTTAAAAATTTGCTTTTGTTTTGGGATTTGTATACTAAAAGTAACAACTTCTAAAATTCTGTTTATTCCGGTGTTATTTAGGTTTATTTTGTTTTCCTTACTTCTTAGTTGAACTCTTTCTTGGTGTTTTTTCTGTCACTTTTGAAAATATTCTTGTTATTTATTTTAGACTTTTTTTCATCATTCATTGTTTACTGTTATATTTAGATTATGTTCCCATGGCGTTATAGTTGTCCTAACTTACCTTTCCGCCATCCTCTAGTTTTTCCTTAATCATTTTGCGTTTTTTAGTCTTGAGTTTAATTTCCTTTTTGCTTCTTTTTAGTATCTTCCATGTTAGATTTCAGCCCTGTTGTATTTACTGATGTTTCTCCATTGCACCCTACCACCCTCCTTTTCCCTCAGTTCTCCAATCATTATCCAGTGCCAGAGGCGGCTGGTGGAGTTTTCCCCAGGGGGGGCTATAAATTCAAATCAGACGTATACCAAAAACCAATCAAACGTATACTAAGTAATCACACCTGTATATTTATATGAATGCCAACAACAAAAACATAATAAAAACATATATATATTATAAAAACACAACATAATTTCATGTACAGGTTTACTTTTTGTTAATAAATCTTGCCCTTCTAAGGTTTTGTGAAGGCAAAACTGTGTTTTGCATTGTCCAACATTGTGTCACAAACCTAAAACAATTCTGTACCACTTTAATAATTGAGAAGCTATCAGTCAACTTAATATAAAGGTATAAAAACTATTTTCAGATAATGGGTTCAGTTAAGGGCTGCTCAGTGACACAGTGGGTAACACTCCTGCCTTGCAGCAAGAAGGTTCTGGGTCCGATTCCTGGCCTGGGGTCTTTATGCAGGGAGTTTGCATTTTCTCCCTGAGCATGCATGGGTTCTCTCTGGGTACTCTGGCTTCCTCCCGCAGTCCAAAAACACGACTTTTAGGTTAATTGGCTTCTTTAAATTCTCCTTAGGTGTGAGTGGTTGTTTGTGTCTGTGTTGGCCTTTGATGGATGTTTACGAATTACACTAGTTTTCACTAGATGTGGATGGTGCCAATTGTCTGCATTGGATGGCGTACATGACGTGAAATAAATATTTATAAACATTAAACCAAAGCCAAAAGTATAAAGTTACGTTAGTTTTTAAGAATGTAAGGAATAGAAAGTACAGATAAATATGTGAAAATGTAATGAGTAGATGTCAGAAGTAGGAAGAGAAATAAGTAATGGAGTAAAGTATAGATACCTAAAAACTGTACTTAAATACAGTAACGAAGTGCTTGTACTTCCTTGCTTGACACCTCTGCAAGTGAGTTTCAGATTTAGGATCCTGAATTAAAAGATTTTGTGTGGAGGCTGTCATGAAATTTCTCTTGTGATGAACTGTTTTGTTTTACCAAGATAACAACTTTCACTGTAAATCTGCCACCCAGACCCTGTTTAACACTGATTCTAGGCGACTTTAGCTGCTGCTTTAACAAATATGTCACTTCATGTTAATGTTTCGACCTGAAAGAAAGACCAATAAAGGGCTCAGTATCTGCAGTGCTGCTATGAAATGTCACCATGGGTAAGTCTGAAGTGTCAAATCCCACTTCCTGTTTCTCTTTGATATTTCAGGATCACAGAACGACAGTCACTTATATCTGGCTCTTCAAGTTGACCTCTCTCGTTCCTTTCATAACGCTGAGTGAAAGCTGCAAATGGACAGTCCTTTGTTGAGTCCTTAATATGAATTTCCAGCTCCAATGAAATGTATACTTCCTTCTGCAGAGGTCACTGTCTTCTTCACACATTAGCCTCTCCGTCCTGTCATCGCAGGGGCCAGCCTTAAGCCTGTCTTTCACTCTGCCTTTGATTACCCGTCTCACACTTTTTCATACCTCCAATGTATCTGTTAAAGGACAGCAGAGAATATCTATTTCAATGAAAAGAGACGTAGACAGAAACTGGTTGTGTGCCTCTGAGAGGAAAGAACAATGATTGACAGCATTGAAAAAATATGTGTGAGCAAGTATTAGGAATCTGGCAGCATCACGATTGTCTTTAAACCTAAACATGCGTCTCATTCATGGTCTAGATGTCAAATTTGATGTAGTGGCTCCCATATGATTGGCTCAAACATTTTTGGGTGATAAGACGTTATTGGAGGTTTATTGGAATGACAGGATTACACAAACAGGACCTGACAGCAGAGAAGAAAAGAAGGTGATTCTTGGAACAATGACCAGGTGAGTCTCATCAAATGTGGGAAAGCTTTAAGGAAGTATAAAA